GGGTTTTATTAGTTTCAGGTATATATTTTTAGTAAATTGTCACTTGGTGTGATGTCAGTGTCGATGAAATGATTGTCAGTGAAATGATACGGATCCGTTCAGCACAGTGTTTAGCACAGTCTGGCACAGTTTTGGCACAGTATTTTCTTATGCTAACCTTAATGCGGGCTAATCTGTCGGGATTTTGACCAGCTCCCGTTTATTTTTAGTTTATCTTACCTTATATCATCCTAATTAAGTTATTATGAAGCTTAAGCTTCACTTACCATTTTGAGTGAGAAACGAAGCATCTGTATTGAAGCTTAAGCTTCACTTACCATTTCGGGTGGAAAGTAAAGCGACTGAATTGAAACTAAAGCTTCGCGAACTAATTAATTGAAAATAGGGTTTCACGGATAGTGAAAACGAATTTTCAAGTCGTAATTAATTATAGTCTAGAAAATACGTATATAAGGTCCTCAATTTTTCGTTAATAAAATTGACCCAGACTAAAATGTCTCAAATATAAAAAGAACTGAGTTCGGATCTCCTAATAATGATTTACCTTTCTTTAATTTCCAACTATCATTGATATTCGAGTCCCATTTGATGAATTAAAATACTATCGTAACCAATCTAAGTTAACGGCTGGAGCTAAACAGCACATATATTTGCATTGCTCTCCCAACCGGTCGTAACAATAGCACTTGTGTATAGAATTATTTTTATATCGTGATATATAACCAGATAACTAAGCCTCACGCTTACAATTAAACTTGCTTAGCAACCATCACAGATGGAAGGGGCAAGCCTCAACGCCAAATTGAAAGATTCGGCTCGATTGAGTGTTAAGTATCGAAGATGTCTTTATCTCTTTTTGAAACTGTTCTCTATTTGAAACTGTGAAACTTTAATTTTTATCGATCCAAATTTTTGATCAAGTTATCCACCATTTCTACAAGTCTTTGATATGAAATGTCCGAAACCTAAGATGCATAGCGGCATTCAGAGAATAATTTTTATGAGTAAGTATTTTATATTTTATATTAATGACTATAATTACCACATGCGAACCTTTTTCATTTGGGGTTTCAGAATTAAATTGTGAACATCTAATTTCCGTTAAAATAAATAAGTGTCGTATTTTTTGAATTAAACTATTCAAAAGTCTAATTTTATTCCTATGAAAAAGTTGGTACAGTATGTGGCACTGGTTTCGGAGATGTGTGGAATGGGATGTATAGTGCAAATACGTATAGGCACGTTTTATATGATGAAATATCACGTTTATTCACGTTGTTCAGAATGGCATGAAACCAGAGTGACACATACCTGCATGTTTAGCGCACCTTAGATGTTATTTAAAAGCACGAGAAAGATTCTATTGATCTTTATAATCACTGATAATTAAAGCTAATTAAAATGATGTGAAAGAATATTAAGAAATGGTAATACGTTCATTATTGCTGATTTCAATTCTAATAATTTATAAATCATCATTATACTTACTCTCTAAATAAAATGATTTGAAGGATATGTGGTGGTAAATAAATATTTATGTCCATGATTTTAATTCCACCGAGAATAAATTATTGATGAATGAAATAAGAGTTTGTCAACGAAGTGACAGGGCGATCATTATTGCGACTTCAGATGACTTTAGTGCAGAACATCCCTATTTTTTTTTATTTTATTTTATTTTTTTGTTTAGATGATCGATTCTTAACACTCACTTTGACATTACACGATAATTATTATAGTGATAGACTCAAATGCTGATTTTAATGTGATTAAATTAGTTCTGAATTATACGCAACACAATATTACATATTTACGTAAAATCATATTTGAATTATTATTATTATCATTCAAATTTTAATCGCACACATAAAACGCGTGTAATCAATAACGACCAAGCCACAAATAATTATCAAAACTGAATGAAAAATATTTGGTGGAAAGTATGTGGCGATCATGTTTTGGTGCAACAAAAACCTGAATACTGTATTTTTCTATGAATAATATTTAATATTATTTATCTTGCGCCAGACAAAGTAAAAAAAAAAAAAAAAAAAAAAAAAAAAAAAAAAAAAAAAGGCTTACGATATTTCAAATACTAATTAAATAATATTTGATACTTTAAAAAATGTATATTATTCCCCCAAAAAACCCCTTACTAACATTAATCCTATAAATTTTGTTACTAAATCTAAGTGTTGAGCACCAATGATGAGATTTAGCATACTATATATAAACAAAAAATAAACAATACAAATATTTTGTAGATAAAGGAATTGCGAAAATTAAGTTTTAAAAAAATCTTCTAATGCAATACCATTTTATTCGGTTTTCGTATTACTATAACAGAGTGAAGTATATATTATGATAAAAATCCTTTAACTAAATTAATTATATTTGTTCAGATAAAGCAATATTTAAGCTCAAAATTTGAGAATGTCCTATACACATAAAAGATTTTTTTTTCTGTGTTTTTTGTTATCATTAATAGTTATTATCCAAGCAACATCGTTAAACATTAGAAGTTTCTCTGATAATGGCGAATGTGAATATGTTCAGTATCCACCTGAAATTTTAGCCCCGATACCTCTTCTCAAAAAATGTCTTTCTCCAATCAATGAAATAGCCATTTATCCGGATGATCCTAATTACTACGAATGCATTAAAGTTGCCAATTGTCGAAATATCTATTTTCCTGTGGTAGTGATTTATGTTACTAAAGTTTCGGATATTCAAATATCTATTAATTGTGCAAACGCTTTAAATATTTCGGTAACTGCTAGATCTGGTGGTCATTCTTTTGAGGCATATGGAAATGGTGGAAGAAATGGTGTTATGGTGATTGATGTTAAAGAGCTTAATCAAATTACTATTAATAATGAAACGAATACAGCTATTATTGGAACTGGAAATAGATTAGGTCCAATATATTATACATTATATCAAGCTGGGTTTTTACTTCCAGCAGGCAGTTGTCCTAATGTTGGTATTGGTGGACACGCTACTGGTGGTGTAAGTATTTTATTGACAATTTATAATATAATTTATTATATTAATTGATTGATTGATTGATTGATTGATTGATTCATTCATTCATTAACTATTTTAGGGTTTCGGTACTGTTTCAAGAAAGTATGGAATGTCATCTGATAATATTATTAGTGCTGAAATGGTTATAGCGAATGGAACTTTTATATCTCCAATTAACTCCACACATAATTCTGATCTATTTTTTGTGCTTCGAGGCGCTGGTAATTCAGGTTACGGAATAATAACCTCTCTTACCTTCAAAATATATTCTATTCAACCAATAGTTACCACAATTATTTTATCTTACAATTCAGAACAAATAGAAACTTTATTCATGTCTCTAAGCAAAGCAGCCAAAAATCTTGACGACAATATAACACCTTACCTTACACTGTTACCTGATAGTGATAGCTCATACACTTGTACAGTTACTGGCGTTTATTTGGGACCTGCAGTAGAGGCACGAAATGCTGTCAAAGAATTAATAGAATTATCAAACCCTGCTGAAACAGATTTTAAAGAATCAACTTGGTGGGAATCTGTTCTTGAAGTATCTACAAAGGAAACCATTCAACCAATATTTACTCGTAAAGCTTTCAAAGCTACTTCTTTTGTTGTTAAGCCACCGGGTCTTTCTCCAGAAGCTATTAAATATTTAAGGAATTTTATTGATACTATTGAATGTCGAACAGTAGCTTTATTTGATGTTTATGCTGGTGGTGCTGTAAGCAGAATTTCAGTAAATAGTTCTGCATTTATTCATAGAGATATTCTTTACATAATACAACTATCAATGAAGTTATCAGGTAATAGTAAAAGTGTTCAAGCTAAATGTTTAGAGAAACATATACAATTTAGACAAGAATTTCAGGCTACATATACTACTTATTTTAGCTATCAGGATTATGTTGATAAAGACCTTTTAAATTGGACAACTAGATATTATGGACTTCATTTACCTAGATTGATTGGGACTAAAAAAAAATATGATCCCAATAACTTATTTTTTTGGGAGCAAAGCATCCCTGAAAATTAGCATAATGTTGTGTACAATATTAGGTAAACTACTGTAATTCTTGGAATGTATCATTTGTTAATAATTATTCGAATTAGCAATTAGAAAAGTATTCATTATTAAAGTTAAAAGTTGTTGATATTCATGTACTTTATTATGATTAAGCGATGTGTCGTTATATTATACCTGAAATTTTTCTGCCACAGTACTTACCTTACCGGTACTTTATATCATGTGACCAAAGTTACTTATCTGTTATCTAAAATTACAAGTAATGTAAGTTCGTAATTTTCGTAACACAACCCTAGTTAGTATATTAAAATAACAATTCATAAACTTGGACTACAATAATACTAACTTTGGTAAGCACGTTTGACTTTTAATAGACTTTCGAATTTCGATACCATTTTCGAGTTTCGATACCACTTTCGAGTTTCGATACCACTTTCGAGTTTCGATAGTATTTTAATTCATCAAATGGGACT